TCTTAAGTTTTGTGAAAAAGTTGGCAACATTTGGAATTGTTAACACAACGGATTCACAGTATACAAAATATCACTAGGATAGTTTGTCTCCGTACTTTTGATTCATCTTTGATATTTTAAGCTAAAAACCCTGGAGACCACTGATGCTGATTTACACGCGCCAAGTTTTCAAAATCAGACTAGTTTTCCACACGCTTTATCTCTGAAACGAAGTCCGTGACCCCCATTTCTTTTTCATTTCTGAAACAAGTAATTTATTATCTCTCCGCAGTAGAGGTTTGAAGAAAATCTATCGAGTAGAACATTTTCGCGCGAACGTCCTTAAGTAACCATTGAACAGGCTCACCTTTAAGTCAAGCTCGTGAGCGGCGAAGAGCAAAGCGTTTCGGCGAGAAGGAGTCTGGTGAAGAGGTTCGCCAACCCCTATTAAGCGGCCACCTCCCATTTCCCCGATGGTGGCCGCTTAATAGGGGTTCGACTGTATTCGGTTCACCGATGACTTCATAAAAAACAACTCCCTACCCTCAACATTCTGCCCTAAAAATACCACCTACTGGACTGCCAGTTGCGTTCGAGATTTTAATTATCTTTTGTAATTTCGCTACAGAAAGCTGCAAAGATCTGAAATACGTAAACATATATGTATTTGCCGACCGGGAGGTCCGTATTTAATGGGAAAAACTGTGCCGACGTCTTGAGTTAGGCGTGCGCCGAGGGCACAGTTTTCACAATACGGATCGACCAAGGCCGGAAGATAATGTGTTTATGTTTTTTCTCTGCGGTATTACTTAGAAAGCTTCTTTTGTGTTGAATTTTAATTAAAGCCGTTCAGTTCAAATCGGTCGGGCACAAAAAGCGATACTGCTTGCATAATTAATTGCTTGACTCTGTGCTGAATGTTTCGATTTTAAGTTGTTTTACGGCGTAACAAAACAGCATAAAAAGTTACCAAAGCTAGAAATTTCGGAGCAGTTCATACTTGAGGTCCCGATGGAAAATACGGATAACTTGAGTGCGCGCATTAACCAATCAAACTCAAGGATGTAGGATTTCGGAGCGCCGAGAAGCTGGAGAAAAAATAAATCCTGTTATCTCGGTAACTGCATTGTACGACGTAAAAACAAATGTTCTACACTTTGTACTTTAAGTAAATATTGCTTACACCACCAACACGAAACCAAAATAAAAGTTTCAGAGAATTATTCAGATACTGTTAGTAAATGTTTATCAGAAAAGGAACCTGCGAGGCTTCTGGTACGTTGCCAATGATTAACACCGATTGTTTTACGAAACATTCACTATAGCTACCACTAATTACAATTGAGCAAACTCGACAAATTTGGTAATAAAATTTTGTAATATAATTCCAAAGCTTGTTCTCTGTTTCTTCTTCAAAAGGTCGCTACCGCTAACGGTGACAACTCTAATTAACGATGTTCTAATTACTGACCAGCTCCCCGGTTTAAGTATCACCCTCGTGTTTAATTGCCAGCTGTTCATTTCAAGTTGGCAGCTGCCGAGTACGACGAGTCGTGATCCTTCTGGCCACAGGATCGAGCACAGTGGGCGGTTGTGTGCCTTCCGACAGGCTTTTCGTTAATCTCCGGGTAAATTTGGAGACTTACAAACTGTGAGAACATCCATCAGTGAACACGTAAACTGCTGATTAAAGTAGATAGCAGTTGTGATCTCAGTCCGGTGCGGATGATCGTGTTGGTTGTCAATTGTCAAACGTAAAAGCAATTGTCGGCTCTAATCAGAAACGATGGAAAATAACACCTCCAAAGAACTTTCTCATTTTAGCAAAGAAAGCAACTCAATATCAACTCAGGACATAATTTTTGCTGCGCTGTACGCGGGTATCGTCATTCCTGGTGTAGTTGGCAATGGAATGGTAATCACCATCGTGCGAAAAACGCCATCAATGCACACAACAACAAACTATTTACTCTTGAACTTGGCGGTGGCCGACTTGTTAACTTTACTTCTCTGTCCTGGACTTTATGACTTTGCTTTAACCAAAGTTCGACTGGAAGGATTCTCAGGGGATCTGGTCTGCAAGCTTTTTGCTGGAAATGCAGTTGTTCCAGTCACCATCAATGTAGCTGTTCTTACAGTTTGCACAATCTCAGTAGAAAGATATTTGGCGCTTCTGAGACCTTTTCAATCTAATTTGAGGATAAGCGAGGATAAAGTGAAATACGTTATAGTAGCACTATGGTTTCTTGCCTTCTTATCTTGCATCCCAGACATTCAAGCCAATACGTTTGACACCACATCTTCCAAATACCCATGCAAACGTCCTTGGAGTTTGGACGAGTATTTCCTCCACAAGCCCTTCATCATATTCACCTGTGTTGGTTTTGGCATTGTAAGCTCCCTTATACTTTTTATTTGTCATTTCGAAATCGTGCGCGGTTTGTATTTCGCAAAAACAATCTTCTCAGAATCAACGATTACGGAGGCAGAAAGACGAGCAAAGAGGCAACTGGCTCGCCTTCTTATCTGGTTGGCACTTGTGTTCGCTGTTTGTTCTCTGCCATTTTCTTTTTACTTTATTTTCTTGATCTCCGCCGATTTCAGGACTGTGCAGAAAAATTACGAAATATTATTCTCACTGCATAGATTATCTCGGTTTCTACTTTTCTCGAATTCGTTTTTAAATCCAATCTTGTACGCTTTACAAAGCTCAAACTTTCGTGACGGATTCAACTCTATTTTTAATTTAGGGCCACTCGGCTGTAAGCCTTGCGCAAAGAATAGGAATTCTGTCAGAAATGTAAGTTTAACTGGTTTTACTCAAGCTGAGGTAGCGGAAAATTATGTTTTGGAAACTAACGTTGATGTAATCGCAGGTGCTGAAACTAATGACTAAAATATGGCCAAAGATTCGTTTGCATGTCGCTCACCAGTCGGTTGTTTTAATTGAAAAACTCTCCAACTTTCGGAAATAATAAAATTGAACATCGGTGGTGAAAACTGAAAACTGACGACTGTTTGCGTAAGCTAATGTGTAATAACCGAAGTATGTTAAGTAAATCTGACATCTCTGTTCCCTGTACAAACAAATGTTAAATTAAGTTTTACACTGACATGTTCGTTAGTTATTACATGTAAGATACATGATGCTATTTGCAACTCATTGCAAATAAATTATGAGGGCTTTCAACTTAAGGCAGGGTTTTATGCATGAAGATAGGTATTTTTCTGGTAGGCAAAGTTTTGTATTTTGATCAAGAAATAGATAACTAAGAAATATGTAGTGAGTAATGTTGTTATAAAAAATAAAGGATATATCTGTATCATTTACATTTTAAAATTTGACAAAAGTATTGTTTGATGTAAAGATAATGTTAAGAGAAGTGATAAGTAAAATTTTGGTGGAAGTTCATTCAGAACAATCCGTCAAAATCTGATGGGACAAACCTGCTGGTTTTCAACTTCTTTGTGGCGAAATATATGTGTTCAGCTTGATTAAACGTTCGCAATACTATGAAAATCAATGTTCGGACTTTATAAATTGACTTAATTTTGCAACGATTCCAATACCATTTCACTAGTGGAAAGCGCCTGAAGCGCCGATAATCGAGCGGCGTTAAGTTCTAAATCTTTAAGATATTTTTTTGATCTTTATGTTGCTTTTCTTATTACTTGACCATTTGAAATCGAGGTTATTTGTAATTTTGGAACCCCAAATCCAAGTCTGATTTCGGTGGCCTGCATGCTAGTAGAATTTGGCGTTTTCAAAAAGACAAAAGGAACGGCAGACGCAACAATGTTGTGTAACAACAAAGGGTATTTTGAACCGTGAAATTCCTTCGAACTGCACCGCACTAAGTGACTTTTTCACAAACCAGACTAGATGTACATTTAAGTTTAGCTAGTAAGATTCTGAATTCATCGGCGGCAAGAGAACATCGTTTCTTGTCGGCAGATAGTCTTGAACATGGAGTCTATTAACGAAGTTGCACGTTACACCAAGAGCCCATTACACGGTATTGTACACGAACGTTGATGCCAAAGCAAGTTTTCAAATTCGTCATCCAAATAAAGAGATGAAAGATCGATATTTGAAGTGCTTAATAACCTCGTTCCCAGGATCTCTGAGGTAGCCATCCAGGGAACCGTGAAGAAGAGAAACCCTGGAAACTAGGTTGGTGCCTAAGCTGACATTTCTGGTCGTTCCTTTTGGGTTCAGAGCGAGAGATTCAAGTTTGCAATAATGTGGGCTAGAGCTGTCACAAAACGAAGATCATTTGACAACATACATAATAGCTCCTTTGTTATTCAATATAAAATAATCTTTATTTGAAATTCGCAAGCATGAGGGCAAGAGGCGGTAGGGTAAACTTATTGGTGATAATAATCATTGCTTTTCTACTCAGATTGGCGATACCAACGGCGGCTTTGAACCAGCAAGCAGTTTGGAAACAGCAGCTCGAAATGTTTCAGGTTATGAGACATCTCATAACGGATTCTTCGTATGAAGCCCACAGTCAACGACTGAAACAATATTCAATGAATGACATTTCTCCAAAGGCGCTTGTAATCCTCAGAAATACTTGTCTGGTTGTTGTTATCAATGTTTATTTCTTTAAGTTCTGTAGGCGAGGCCAGCAATATCTCACATGGTGAGATCTAAGGGGGAAGAAAATGGCCTGTTAGAACGCTGAAACATTTCAAAACAAAGTCGGTGAATATGTACTATGTAGTTGGTTCCGGAAGTGAATTTAATTAAATAGTAAACTGAAGCAAATTATTAACTTGTCTATTATAAAACTACACGGATGTAATGACATTTATCTAACCAATGTCCTTTTAACAAAGTACAACTTTTGTAGAACTTGAAATCGGTCAAGATTTAAATCTGATGTAAACAGAATTCTCGGCTAATTCACCAAGTGGTGTTCATTTAAAAAAATTCTCACGATCATTCACTGGCCAGGAGTTTTAGATGAACTTTTGGAAAATAAAGTAAGACGATAAAGAATGAACAAAAAAGAACTTGACCCTTGTATACGATCTCAGTTATTTTCAGGGGATAAGTATTATACGCTACATAAATTAAATACAAGCAGACAAATACAGAAGAAAGCGTTGATTACTACTCAACTGAACAACTGTCGCATACCTCACAGCTAAAGTTCTTTCGATTTTCCTCTGGAATTGGTTTTCTGTAGTAGATGGGATCCGCATCGAATTTTCTATACACATAACTCAGCGGCTTGAAAAGTCTGCGGTATGTTCGCGTTACTAAGAAGATAGCAGCAACCAAGAAAACAGCAAACACGCATGCAGCGTCCAAGGCAATCTGGTAGTGAATTTCAAACGTAATAGAGATAGAAGTCATTTTTGTCTTAAATTTTAACACTCTTACGTGGCAAAGTAGTTAATTTCAGTTTTTTTTTTGTTTGATCCGCTCGCACCTCGTTTCACATCAGATTGTCTGTTTCTCGAGAACTAAAGTTCTGACAAATAAAAAGTTGCTTATTTAGCGACATCTTTCGCTTGTTAAAATGTTGTCATGTGATTGGCTGATTTGAAAGACATCTGCAATTAGGCTGTTTGGAGAAGGAATAGAATCGCGATTATCAAGGGCGAAATACAGGCTAAAAACCTCGCAATATAAGCAGGCGATTCTTCACTTAACTGAAAAAGATAATAGTTCCAAAAACGTGAAATTTATCACGTTCAACTTTAAAACTTTGATCACACCAGAATGTCCTCTCCTGCCAACAGTGTTTTCGATATTTTAGGAACCACCAACGCAAACCTGTAGTGGGCATCCCACGCATACATATAGTGAGCTATATTTAGCGTACAATGCAGTATTTTTAGCGCAGTGTTACTCAATTTAGACTCAGACTCTAAAAGTTTCACTTTCGCTTTCGATTTTCATTTATTCATAGGAAAATAAGCTGGCAAATGAATTATGTATTTGGGGTAGGGATAGTATTGAGTTTTATGGTATGGCATTAATTATTCCTATTTTTGGAAGACTATCAAGAATTCATGTCATGTCCTTTTTAACGGGTTGGTTATTTAAGCCGGAGATTTTTTCCGTAATTACAAAGTTAGAGAACGTTTTGTAAGATATTACGCGATGATCCACAGCTGATCTAGCTTTAAATTTGTGATAAAAGTAATTTATTTAGATTATGATGTTAAATTATCCTGAAGTTTTCAATACAAAGGAATCAAACAAGCAACGAGAAATGGTGAAAGAATAATAATATGCGGTTTAATTCCCATAGAGCTCGCCGGACAGATGAATGCAGCAACAGTGCCCAAGTGATGCAAAACATGCGCAGTCTCTATTAGTCAGTTTGCCTGCTTTCATGCTTTTAATCGGATTATTTTTGTCATCAAAATCCAAAATGAAATATTAGTTTTACAAAACAGTTCGCGCATAACGCTGCGTAAAATAATGATCAGTAAATATTCACAATTTGTTTGTGATTCATGACCAGGCTAATTGATTTGAACACATTTCCATATCATCCTGAAAAGGTACGTGATGTTGCGAGTATAAAGTGATACCTGGGCAAATAATGTCGAAAGGAAGTAAACAAAGCGTTGGCGGGTTGCTTGATTCACGTACAGATGAAGCAGAACCAGAAAATTCAAAGGCCATGGCCAATTAAATCGAAAAAAAAAAAGAAACAAAATAAGGTGCGTTTGTTTTAGAATAAAAATTAGTTTCATCGGCTGATAACTGTCAGCTTTAAATATAGAGGAAAAACTGAGGCCACATTCGTTCTTATATGTTTTTGATCACTCGTTTTATTTCAACAACGCAATAGCGGTAGTCTTGAATCGCCCACAAGTCGAGCTTCGAAAGCTGAGCCCGGAATCGGAGGGAAATGTTTGCGACGCACAAAACCGAGTACGAAGTGAGGCAAATGAGCGCAAGCTCGACTTGTTTCTCGTGTGAAAAAACAGCACTGCGACTACGTATAAGGCTACAACTGTGAAGGGCTTTGAGAAAGTCTAGCGGATAAGATAGGGCTGGACTCCGTTTTCAAATTTCTTTAGTCTGAACAAATGCATGTTATTCGACGAAAACGACACTGGAGTGTTTCCATCGTAACCGTGTGGCCTACTAGAGGCTAAAACGAGCTGAAACGCAGATCAGCGTCGACGGGGTATAAACGTGTCACGAGCTGTCTGCGGAAATGTATGACTCTGTAATTTATCCCACACGGCGACCAACAATTAACGGGGTTTCATGTTTCACTAGAGTAGTATAATTCATGGTAGGGCACATTTAGTCGCCTTCCCCTTCACTCCTTAAATGTTAACCGCAAGCAAACAGCAGGAAATAAATGCTACTGTAACCGCAAGCAAACACAGTATATAAAATTTAACCGCAAGCAAACGACAGTAAATAAAAGCAAACTATATATGTGTCCGACCATGAATTATATCCCATACAAACATCCAAATCAATGAAGAAAGTGCACTCTTCGAGTTCTTTTTTTGATATAAAAGGCACTTCAACTATTGCATTTATTTCGAGACGTAACGAGTTCTGTTGTGTAGCGTTTTATCATTATAACTGTGACTAGTTACGTTACGTAACGTTATACTCAGTATAATAGGGAACGTAAGGCTGGTTTTCACCAGAGCATAAGCACAAGCACAAACATAAGCATAAGCACACAAGTGAACACAGCCGCGACATAGGCATAAACATAAGCATAAGCAGAATCATAAGAAGAACGAACCCACTTGTTTGTCTTGTGCAGTTTTCACTATTAACGCACTCCGGCGACATAACTGCCGGCATAAGCATAAGCACAAGAGAATCAGACCTGTTCGTTTCTCTTGTGCTTATGCTTATGTCGAGCGCATTACTAGTGAAAATAGCACAAGGCAAATAAGTGGGTTCGTTCTTCTTATGCTTCCGCTTATGCTTGTGCTTGTGCTTATGCTCTAGTAAAAACCAGCCTTTAAGGAAACCACAACGGCAACAGCAACGTCGCCAGTCAAAAGGTTTAATGAGCAATACAATGGCTGTGCACGTTCATTATAACATAACATAACACAACAGAACA